TTTTTTTTTTTTTTTTAATAATCTCTGCACCCAACATGGAGCTCAAACCCACAACCTCGAGATCAAGAGGTGCATGGTTCACCGACTGAACCAGTCAGGTGGCCCTAAACCTCACATCTTAGATAAAAATATACTCAAAATAGATCAAGAGCTAAAATGTAAAACATAAATCTATAAACACGTTACAAAAAAATAGAGAAAGATTTTTGGGAGCTAGGGCTTTGGTGAATAGATTTTAGACCTGAAAAACTCAATATGCCTAAAACCTAAAACCTTTTTATACAAAAAACTAAAAATACCCATAAAGGAAAACACTGATAAATTGGTCTTCAAAATTAAAAACTCTGTGCTTTGCTGAAGAGCCTGTGGAGAGGACACAAAGGCAAGCTGTGGAGTGGCAAAGTGTTTGCAAACCACACATCTGACAAAGTTCTTGTATCTAGAATGAGGAAATCTCAAAACAAAGAAACAATCCAATGAGATAGTTCAAATTCAACAGGCAAAAGACTCAAATGGATTCCACCAGCTAGGAAATAAGCACATCTAGCCATTAGAAAAATACAAATTAAGGTCACAGTGAGATATTACTACACACCTATCAGAAGGGCTAAAGTAACTAAAAAGTGTAACACCAAATATTGGTGAGGATGTGGAAACTGGATCACTCATACACTGCTAGGAGGAATGCAGAACAGCACAGCTACTCTGGGAAAGAGTTTCAGTTCTTTTTAACGTTAAGTGTGCCGTTACCACAGGGCCCAGCAATTGCATTCTTGGATGTTTATTGCAGAGAAACAAAACTTATGTTTACCTAAAAACCTATACACAAATGTGCTTAGCTGCTTTATTCATAATAGGCCCAAATTGGACACAGGTCTCAATGTTCCTCAAAGTGCGAATGGTTAAACAGACTGTGGTATATCCATACCAGGAAGTATGACTCAGCAATAAAACCAAAGGAACTACTGAAACACACAACCTCGGATGGCTATCTTACATGCTGAGTGAAATTAAAAGGCTGTAACTTTATGATTCCATTTATATTAACAATCTTTTCTTCCCCCAGTAAACTCTATGCCGAACGTGGGGCTTGAACTCACGACCCCTGAGATCAAGAATTGCATGCTCTGACTGAGCCAGCCAGGTGCCCCCATTTATATATTAATAATCTTTATATAAAATTATAAAGATGAACAGAAGAGTAGCCACCAGGGGTTTGGGATGGGGGAGAGGTGGATGCGGTTATGGAGAAGCAGCATAATGGGAGTAGTGGTGTTGACAGAAATGTTCTGCATCTTGATTGTGGTGATTGTTAATGTGAATCCACACATAACCAAACTGCACAGAACTGTGCACGCGCGCGCACACACACACACACACACACACACACACACACACGCAGGACAAGATGAAATCCGAATAAGCTCTGTGGGTTGTACCAATGCCAATCTCCTGGGTTTGATTCTGCACTTGTTATACAAGATGCTACCGCTGGGGGGAACTGGGCAAAGGGTACATGGAACCTCCCTGAACATTTTTGTTTGTTTGCTTGTTTTTGAGACAGAGACAGGGGAGGGGGGCAGAGAGAGAGGGAGACAGAGGATCTGAAGCGGGCTCTGAGCTGACAGCAGAGAGCCCAATGCAGGGCTTGAATTCACAAACTGGGAGATCATGACCTGAGCCCAAGTTGGATGCTTAACCAACTGAGCCATGCAGGTGCCCCTGAACATTTTTGTTTTTGCCAACACCCTGTGAATCTCTAATTTTAAAAATAGAAAGAAAAAAGGTCCATCAGAGTGAGATGCATGATGACCTAAATGGCATAGGTCTTGGGTTTGCTTTAAAAAAAAAACCTCTAGGAAGAAAAAATAAAGGAAAAACAAGTGGGAGAGATCGATGAAACAGAACTGAAAAGATGTCAGTAACTGTTGATGCTGGGTGAAGGATATTCAGGGAAAGCATATATACTTTCCTCATTCTGTATTTGAAAATTCCCAAAATAGAAGTTTTATATAGTTTCCAGGAGTACTTGGTTCAACAGAAGGACTAAACCTTATCTGTCTACAGTCTTACTCATTGCTGGAACTTCTGAATACAGATTAAGTTCAAAGTATATCATTCTGTTTCATTTGCAAAGTTTTTATTAGGACCTTTTATTTATGACGTTTAGAGCTCATAAATCACATTCTTAATCTGGCTCTGCTTACTACTTTTTCCCTCCAAGAAGTGTCCCAAAGTTATAAAAAATAGAAATTTATAAATACACATTGAGAATTATGCACAGTTTTTACACAATAATAGTCGGGTCAATGTTTCCAGCTGTCTAATCATCTCCCAGGACCTCTCATCTGAAACAGAATGACGGACTCCGAAATCTCTACAGCAGAAATGGCAACTCTGGCCCCAACCCACCATCCGTCCTCAGCATCACGGCACTGGGCAGGCACTGGGCAGGTACTGGTTTTGGACAGTCATGGCAAAACAGGAACTGCAGAAATGCTAGTT